ATATCCGTTTCGTCATGCCTAGAGCTGATCTGTGCTGGTTGCTGAGGGAATACATCAACTTTCACCGTGGACGAAGTGGAATCCAGCCCGGGGTCCGTCACATGTGGTTGCCGCTCCTTTGTCGAATCCGCCGGGCGCGCCGTTCTCGACCCCGCCGCCTCTACTTACTCTAGTCCGGCCTCAGCTCACGCTAAGCTGCTGTGTTTTTCGTTGTGAAAGCGAAACTACTTTGTTTGGTCTTCCAAAAGAGGACACGACTACAAATCAGTGGTTAAGTTGTATTTACAACACTGTTCCAGAACAGTTTAACCCAAATATCCAGATGTGTGCAGCACATTTTATGGAGGACTGTTTACTGATCCTGGGAGAGTAACGTTAGACTACAATGCCGGCAGTTCTGACTCATGTAAGTACGTTTTCATTTAAAGGATTTGCCACTGATGATTCAAACGCGAGTTTTGGGCAGTAGAGTAGCACTTGTTGTTTGTCATTTCTCCAATCACAAATGCAGACACGTAAAACGCGTAAAAAGAGAGCGTCATTATAATCAGTAATTATGTCCCCACTGGATGCAACAAATGCCTCGTTTGTAATGGGTTTTAATGTTTTTGTCTCGTCGCTCCGGCCGGACACGGCATCAACAGTATGTGAGGGGTGTAACATTTCCGTCTCACGCTAGAGGTATTCGGCCAATCACAATGCATTGGATAGCTGGCCAGTCACAGCACACCTTGCTTTTTCAAACCGATGAGCTTTGTAAAAATCGACGTGTTTCAAAAAGGCGGGGCATAGAGGAGAAACAATAATGTACAGTATGTGGAAAATAATTTGTTTTTTTAACTTTAAACCGCATAAACACATTTCATTACACCAAATACACAAAATAATGTCCTTTTTAGCAGCATCATATGACCCCTTTAAGTTAACTGGTCTAAATCTGAAGCTCTTCCTTTGACAGCTTATTGCCCTGTGTCATTTTTCCAGCTGGCTCCCTTTCAGTGGCTCAAACAAGATATAAGATACCTTGTTATTCTCTTTCCTGAAAAACTTAAAGATTTAGTAAGAGTGAATTTAGAACCAGTACTACAAAAAATTTTAAACGATGTAGGGAGGTGGTCGTCACTAAATTTGTCTCTTTGGGGTAAGGTGAATGTTCTCAAAATGAACTGCCTTCCAATAATTAATTATCTACTTCAGTCAATCCCAGCAGAGATTCCTTTGCAATGTTTTAAACAGTTTGATAAGTTAACCAAGTCATTACTTTGGAATAATAAGTCCCCACGGTTGTATATGAGTAAGTTGCAACAACCGGTTGACAAAGGAGGATTGGGGCTTCCCAAACATTTGTTTTATTATTACGCCCTCAGCCTGAGACATTTGGCTCATTGGTCCCTCCCCCCTGAGAGGTCCCCACCTTGGTTTAATGTTGAACAAGCAATCCATTAATCCTTAACTAACCTACAAGCTTTTACTACAGATGTAGGAGGTTAAAAGAAGGAACAGATGTTTCTTTTTTTCAGTTACCAGACATAGTAGAGACTTTAACATTAATTGCTAGTTTAGACCCTTCATATTTGACTTTAGAAAAATGTGACACTTAATTTTTTTCTATTTTGTAACTGTTAATATATACAGTAGATATTAACTTTTTTCAACATCAAGATGTTTTTTTAGAACTCTTTTTTTATGTAGTTTCTCAATATGATAAACGTCTCGGTTACGTATGTAACCCTCGTTCCCTGAAGGACGGAACGGAGACGTCATGTTGGTGACCAACGAATTGGGATCTCTCTTAGAGAGATCAATCCACTTCGAGTGTAAACTAAACGAGCCAATGCACATTGGCATGCGATAATTGCATCCAGCTGCCGCTGATCACAGCGTGAGCATAAAAAGGCAGCCGGTGCAATGCATACCAGGTTTTCGCTGAGGAGCCGAGCCGGTGACCCGCCCGCTCAGTGGTGGTACAGCAGCCGGGTTACATACGTAACCGAGACATTCCCGTTCAGTCGGTCACTCTCGACGTTACGTCGGTGACCGGCGAATTGGGATCCCTACCAAAGCGCCATGGATGCTGCCACTTCCAGTGTCCTGTGTGAGCCGCCTGCGCCCCTTTTTGGTGTAGGCCGGGGCTCGCAACAAGAAGACCAGTCACCGTTGTCATAGCACTACCCACTCAGTGAGATTGGATAACACTGGGAAAACGTACCCGTTCCACTTGGAACAGGAACGTTGCGGAAGCCCCATCCTTCCCAAAGGAGGTTTCGGAAGCACTTACACATATGAACAACCATTTAGGTGCATATGGAAGATTAGAGGTGATTATAACCCTCTTTGAAATGGCAGAAGTCTGCCGGGGAAACACAGGCTCTAATGCTATACCGTGGATTTTACACATATGGGATCCACTTAGGTCTCTACATATGGAACCGAGCCCTCTACTGGTTCTCACGGATTCATAGAGTGAGGGCCTGGCGCCGGACGTTCCGCCATGTCTGGCTGCCGAGGGGATGGAGGAGCTCGACAGCATCTACAGTACGGACACTCTGGAGCAGTTTTAGTAAGCCGACTCTAAACCAGGGCCTCTCAGAGCCGCTACCCGTTTGAGGTGAGAACACAGGAGGATACCGGCTCCACACGAAGTCTATAGAATCTAGCGAACATGTTGGGGGTCGCCCAGCCCGCAGCTCTACAAATATCTGTCAGCGAGGCGCCACGAGCCAGCGCCCAAGAGGATGCAACACTTCTAGTAGAGTGAGCTCGCAACCTGAGCGGGCAGGGCACACCCTGTGCCTGATAAGCCAGGGTGATGGCATCCACAATCCAGTGGGCCATCCTCTGCTTAGAGATGGCCTTCCCCTTCTGCCTGCTCTGAGAGCTGGTCTGAGGTCCTAAAGCTTTGTGTCCGGTCTACGAACCATCTCAAGGCTCGGACGGGGCAAAGCAAAGCTATGGTTGGATCTGCCTCCTCCGGCGGCAGCACTTGCAGGTTCACTACCTGATCCCTGAAGGAGGTAGTAGGAACCTTGGGCACATAGCTGGGCCGGGGCCTCAGGATTACCTGGGAGTCAGCCGGCCCAAACTCTAGGCACGAATCGTCGACAGAAAATGTGTGCAGGTCCTCTACCCTCTTGATGGAGGCCAGTGCAAGCAGGAGCAGAGTTTTCATTGAAATAAACTTTAGCTCTACTTACTGCAAAGGCTCAAATGGTCCTTGCTGTAGTGCTTTGAGCACTAGAGACAGGTCCCAAGAGGGTATAGAGGGGGGCCCGGGAGGATTTAACCTTCTCGCCCCCCTAAGAAACCTGATGAGCAGGTCATGCATCCCTACTGACTTCCCTTCCACGGGGTCATGGTTAGAAGCAATCGCAGCGACATAGACTTTAAGGGTGGAGGGAGACAGCCTTCGCTCCAACCCTTGCTGCAAAAAGGAAAGCACGACCCTGATCGGGGCATTTCCGGGGGTCTTCTCGGTGAGAAGAACACCACTCGATGAACATGTTCCACTTCAAGGCGTAAGCGTGTCTCTTAGATGGTGCTCTCGCCGAAGTGATGGTCCAGGGACCAGACATGAAGTTTCCAGATGTCTGGACGTGGGTGCCACAGGGTGCCCTGTCTCTGAGTCAGTAGCTCCTTCCTCAGAGGAATCTGCCAGGGAGGGGCTGTCACGAGGAGCATTAGTTCGGGGAACCAGGTCCGAGTGGGCCAATACCGCGCCACCAGCAGGACCTGCTCCTTGTCCTTCCTGAACTTGCACAGCATCTGTGCGAGAAGGCTCACTGGGGTAAACGCATACTTGCGCAGGCCCTGCGGCCAGCTGTGTGCCAGTGAATCCGTGCCGAGTGTTCCCTCGGTCAGGCAGTAGAACAACTGGCAGTGAGAGGTTTCTGGAGAGGCCAACAGGTCTACCTAAGCGGCTTCGAAACATCTCCAAATCAGCTGGACTGTCTGGGGATGGAGTCTCCATTCTCCTAGGAGCGTAGCTCGTGACAGCTCAGAACCTTCCGACTCCAAAGGAGGAGGTGGCGGGCGAGTTACGACATGCGACGGGAGCGCAGACCACCTTTTCGGTTGATGTACGCAACGGTCACCGTGTTGTCCGTTCGGAGCAGCATGTGCTTGCCTCGTAAGCGCCCTTTGAGACTGTTCAATGCAAGGCGCACCGCTAACAACTCTAGGCAATTGATATGCCAGTGCAGTGCCCGTTGTACGTGTAAACCACAGCATGCCTGGAGACCTGTTCTAGGGGCACTCCTGCCCGAAGAAACGCAAGGTCTGACCACGGGGTGAAGGTTTGGCGACAGGCCAGTGTAACTTGAACCCGGTGAGTGCTGCACTGCCACGCCCACCTCAGGACTTGGCCAAGAAGCCAGTGCTGAAGCGGTCATATATGAAGCAGCCCCAGTGGTGTAACTGCTGCTGCAGCTACCATATGCCCCAGGAGCCTCTGAAATTGTTTCAGTGGGACCGCTGTTCTACCTTTGAATGAATTCAAGCAGTTCAGCACCGACCACGCACGTTCCTCTGTGAGGCGTGCTGTCTGTTCGACTGAATCCAACTCCATACCGATAAAAGAGATCCTCTGCGTAGAGGAGAGTTTGCTCTTTTCCCAGTTGACCCGAAGACCCAACTGGCGGAGGTGCCGGAGCACCAGGTCCCTGTGCTCGCATAACTGATCCCGAGACTGTGCTGTGCCAATCGTCGAGATAGTTGAGGATGCAATCACCCTGCTTTCTGAGGGGAATAAGAGCCCCCTCCGCAACTTTCGTAGAGACAGGTCGAGACAGGGACAGCCTGAAGGGCAGGACCTTGTACTGATATGCACGTCCTTTTAACGCGAACCGCAGAAATGGTCTGTGGCGCGGAAGGATCGACACATGAAAGTACGCATCCTTCAGGTCGATCGCTGCAAACCAATCTCGGGGCCGGATGTACCCGAAGATGTGTTTCTGCATCAACAGAGGCTGATGGCCCGCAGAAGTCAGCGAGACGGGCTGGGTAGCGGTAGCTATGCACCCAGATACCGTGCAAGTGGGACCAGCGTAACCCCCACCGTACCCGCAGTGGGGCAGCGAGGTGGATTGCAGGGATCCAATTCGGGTGGCTCGTGGGCAGACCGAAGAGGGGTCTGAGTGTGCGATGACCATCGTGACCATCACCCGGCGCCAGGTAACGACCGTATCCAGAAACGCACGGGTGAAACGGCAACTTTAAAAAGACGATCCGTCGTCTTTACAAAGACGCACCCGTGTAATCTCTTTTAGAGAAATAGGCTCTTTCAGGGAAATGCTCTTTTAGGTGCTGAGACGCACAGGGGAAATGGCCGCTTGCAGCATGACAGGGGGTAGTGCAGCCTGAAATGCGCAACCCACTCAACACAGGAATACGACCACCGCTGAAGCACTGTCCACCAACACAAGAAGCTCCCTAGAACGCGCTAGACTTGTCACACACGAAGCAGTTTGGTAGGAGCAGAACGATGTTGTCACTCGGCTCCAAAGCAAAAAGCTGGTATGCGTTGCACCGGCTGCCTTTTTATGCTCACGCTGTGATCAGCGGCAGCTGGATGCAATTATTGCATGCCAATGTGCATTGGCTCGTTTAGTTTACACTCGAAGTGGATTGGCCTCTCTACGTGAGATCCCAATGCGTCGGTCACCGATGTGACGTCGAGAGTGACCGACTGAAAGGGAACTACAAAGTACATTTTAAAACTGCAATTTAAAATGTGTGTTTGTGTGTGTGTGTGTGTGTGTATAAACTTTTTTCATTTTTTATTTCAAAAGTTTTAAATGTTCTTGACAAATTAATTTAATTTAACATATTTTGTGTAGTTTCACAATATGCTAAACTACAAAATACATTTTAAAATGTTATGTTTAAAATTGATGAAGAGGTTGATGCAAAATTCATGAAGAGGATAGTCACACCACAAGACCATTTCCACCTTTACTTGATATTGGCTCAGAAATTAAAATACAATTTGACCAGATAATTAAATGACCATGCTGCTGACAAAATCAGTGTCCATCTACATTTTGAAAATATGAAAGAAAATATTTTTTCTTCGAGGAGTAAAATTACATAAAATGACAACTGTTCATCTGCACTTTAACTTGAAAAGCAATGAAACAAAAGTCCCAATGTAACTTGATAGTTCTGTTTGCTTTAACTGCAGTCATAATAATTAGAAGAAATAGTTCACTGGCTGCACATTACTGCTGCCGAAGTACTGTTAAGTATTCCCAAATAGTCATGAAATAGTCACATCACCTTTAAGTTGTAAAGGAATCTGTGTTCCTCAGCCAACTCTGTAACACTAGACAGTTTTAGGGAACATCTGTTTGCCAATTTGCCATTTGTTACTTTCTCACTATGTGCAGAATCTGCTGCTGCTGCTGTCTGCACTTATCTGGCTCAGGAACGAGCGTAGCAGGTTCGCCCCAGAGGTCAGCAGATGTTCCGATAAGTCAGCTGAGGCACAGGACTTCATTATTCAGCTCAGCTGTGTGTGTGTATCAGCACTGCGTGCTGTGTTTAGTAATATTAGTTGAGGATTTGAGCTGGATCAAAGCATGCACAGACCTACTGTCTTATTATTTTGATACTGACAAACTAAGTAGTTAATATGTAAGGGATAAAATGCATCTAGGTGGCCATTATCACAAAATAAACTGATCAGGTCTTGTACCAACATCAAGGGGTTTATTTTGCAATAATGACCTGCTGACTATATTTTATCTTGCAAATTTTACATTGACTTTCTGAATAAATGAAAAATGGGCATAAAATGTTATTTTGTGTTGAATTATTTTATTACATGATAAGAAACAACAGAATTATATAAGAAGAATGAAACTAGCAAAATGATGTAGGAAATTGGTCCGTTATGCTTTTTAGTCACCATTATATTAAACTGCACAATGCCAAGTTTGACCAATCAGAATCAAGGCGTCCATAGAGGAGAGTAATAAGCATTTTTAATTGCTTTCACTAATCTAATAATGACTAATTAGTGATCAATAATTTGATTGTCTAATAGTAACACAAATATGGACCAAATTATCCTCAATGAAAACAGCATGCATTTTTTATGTTAAGAACCTTGACAACCTTGTGAAAGTAAAGACATGTTTTATTTACAGAGATTGAATGCATATAAAAAGTCTAGAGACATTTATTTAGTTATTAATTCAATTTAATTTAATTTCTAATATTGCAATACTTTTTTCCTGGTGTGCTTCTCATTTGCACGAGAAGCTGTGTAGTTGATGTTCTGTCGCCAAGGTCTAGGTCTAAGTCACCGCATGGTCATTGTTCAAGGAACAAGCCCTCGCCCTTCTGTCGCTTTCTCTCAAATGCCACTGAAAATCACGGCTGACATTGAATAAATAGATCAATACCACCCATAAAGACTTTTAAGATTCTTAGAAAGAATATACTCTTTTATCAAAGCTAAAAGAGAAGTGTTGACTGCAGAGACACCTTCACAGACTGACTTCTTTAGTGTTAATAAGGTCTGTCTCAATTCCTGGAAAAAAACATCTTAAACTAGGTAAACAAGTGGTTTTATGGTCTCCAAAGCTGGTTTTGTTAAATGGTTTTTGAGCTTTGAGACCTGCTGGCCAACCAACTAAACTAGCCAAACTCTTGTTTGGCAGGCTGGGAGACCAGCTAGATCATCTTAAACCAGTGTAGGCTAGACATATCCAATGAGAGGCTGATTATGCACTGATATTTTTGGAAATGAGCTGCTTGAGAAAAACATGTGTAAAAACACAAGGCTTGGACCAGCTAATGACCAGCTTAGACCCGCTATCATATTCCAAAACACAGCAATCCAGCCTAAGCTGGATTTTGCAGCAGCGAATCCACTTACATAGTTGAACTCTCGCAAATAATTTGAGCATAAACACAAATATGTGAAGCTGAGCGTTTGCTCTTCGCCAGGAATGCATCAGCGATCACCCCCATGCCTGACCCACTGCTTTATTGGGTCGTTTTCACATGCAATGGACCCTGCACCTGATGAATATGCCAATCCAGAGTAATGAGGAATGCACCTCCATTATCTGGTGTAACTCTGAGAGGAAATATTTGCAGAAATTTGGCAGATTTATAATCAGACGAATAGCACACTGTTATTGTAATTTAGGCAAATCATTGTAAACAACCTCTAAATGGCTTCTTTGTCCTCAGATGGAGAGGCCCATAGAAACCTATCTAATGTAAACCAGCATTTTATTATTTGTTTCCAGGAAACAAATGATGTTACCAACCTTGACTAGCACATTTAAGACTAGGAAGGCACTTATTAACCAAAGGTAACTACATTTACAGTGTTGTTCTAAGGTTTTTTTTTGTGTGTATTCTTCTCTTCCACTATTTTTACAGTGTTTTAAGCCACATGAGGTCAGATGATGCAATAAAAAGTGTGATGGAATCTTCTGCTGGTGGGGATTATAGGGGCACGCATGACTGATGATGGCAGTGAAGCAGCCTCTCACTGAGCTGACCCTATTATCCATGCACCAAAGTACCGGAGAGTGACAGCTGAAACTGAGTAAAAATAGCGCCTATATTTTCAGCTTTCTGCTGCTCCTAAATATTTATCATAAAATGCAGCTCCATCATTTGGATGTTATTGACAGTGTCACAGAGCAGGCAGACTTCATTACAGGGATTCTCTTCAAGATATTTTGAAACAATGGTTTACTTTTTGTGGATTTTCACTTAAACTGTTTGTGATATGGTCAGTTGAATTAATCTAGATTTGAAAGAGCCCTGAAATCAACATTGACTCTTTTGTTTTTCCCCTTTCCTTTCCAATTTAAAGATTTTATACTTTTGATACTTTTTAAATGCTTATATATATATATATATATATATATATATATATATATATATATATATATATATATATATATATATATATATATATATATAAAACCTATATTTAAAATGAAAGTAATCATATAGTGAAATAAGCTATATTTATGTATTTATTGTAAATATATAATTAATTTTCGTTATTTATTGTTTGAAATGTATTTTTATGACTGTCCTAAAGAATCTTTTTATGCTGCTCCATCTCTAGTCAAGTTGTCATTTTGTCAAAATATGCAAAATGTGTGAAAATTATATTTGATACACAAAAAGTGAAATTAGCCTTAGCAAGATGAAGGAATTGGCCAATTTATTCCAAAAATTTTAAAAACACAATGTCAATTACTGAATGCTGTTTAAAATCTGAAATTCGCTTTTGCGCCATTATCTCCTTGTATTAAAATTAATCTTGTTCGCATTCTGTACAGTTCATGCCTGATACCACGATAGTCCATATTTGACCCAAAGTTGGGTTGAAACAACCCAGCATTTTTTAGAGTGTATAATCATTATGAATAAGAAAGGCTTCATCCATCCAATGATTTGAATATATGTAAAAATAAAAAAAGCACTGTTTTCAAAGGCTGATTACCATCATCCTCATCAATGAGATGTATCATGCACAAGCGTTCTGACAAAATACTGATTCATCAGACTAGCTGATTATTTTGGATTTTCAGCAAAGGGTCGAGGGACCATTGCCCTGCACAGATATCTACAATTATCTGGAAGCTCCTTTGAGGTATGAAGTAGGCTATCCTCCACTGACTCATTCTTTAGGTTTACGAGGTGAACTGGCAATCAGGCATGAAAGGCAATTTTTTTTGAAGTGGAAGGCAGCTGTAAAAGTCAGACCCCCATCATGGACAAAGAATGGGATGAATGAAAGGATCTGTTGTGCCCACAAGCATTTCATGCAACTGTTTGAAGTGAAAGCCCTGTAGTGTCCATGTGTATTGTTCTAAGATAGACTTGAGAGTTTTAAAAAAAACTCTATTTACTTGCATTTTCCAGTGTCTTTTGATGTGATATAACTAGGCTTTTCGTATCTCAAATGTCTGTTTGGATTGGGATGGACCATCGAGGCCAGGCCAGAAACCTATATCAGCTATATCTGTAAACTACAAGTTAGGAATAGCTCTCTAGCAACCACCCAAAACAACTTAATTCCATAACAACCCTTGAAGACACCCTATCAACCACCCAAAATACCCTAGCAAGTATTTTGGTTAATTTACAGCAGTTCAAAAGTCAGTACAATTCTTTTAAAGAGTCTCTTGTTTATTGGATCAAGACTACAGTAAAAAAATTTATGCGGTGAAATATTACAGTTTAAAATAACACCTTTTTTTCTATTTAAATATATTTTAAAAAGTAATTTATTCCCGATGCTGAATTTTCAGCAGCCATTACTCCAGTCTTTGGTGTCACATGATCTTTCAAAAATCTTTCTTATATGCTGATTTGCTGCTCAAGAAACATTTATCCATGTTGAAAACCGTTGTGCTGCTGTGACTTCTTTCAGGATTCTTTGATGACCAGAAAATTCAAAAGAACATTTGTCTTGTAACATTATTAATGTTTTTTCTGTTACGTTTGATACATTTATTTATTTGCATCCTCACTGAATAAAAGGATTAATTTCTTAAAAATAAAAAAGTCTTACTAAACCCAAACTGTCACATAGCTGCATGGGGACACAAAGGCTGAGGATCCAAGTGCAGTAGTTTATTAAAGGGTAATCCACAATCATAGTTGAAGTAACAGGCAAAGGTCATGACACTATGAGACAAACCAAAAGCAAGAACAAAGCAAAAAACACTGGAAAGCAAAGGAAACCAGGCTGAAGTATAAAAAAACAGAAAACCAGAATACCAGGGCTAAGAGATGCAGCATGACAAATTCAAGACTTCACAAAGAGTGACTGAAAACACCAAGCTTGTATAGGCAGAGGTAATGAGCAACAGGTGAAAATAATCAGGCATGATGAGTCTGGGCAATGGGTTATGGGAAATGTAGTCCAGGACAGAGTGGCAAAGGTATGGGATGGAGTGCCCTCTGGTGGCTATCAAGGGCACACCAGCTGGTGATTGTGACACAAATGTTTAAACCAGTGGTTCTCAACCCGTGGCTCACATGTGGCCCGTCACGAATTCAAATGTGGCCCACCATGCTGAACACAATTTTTTAAAATTACTTTCAGTTTTACAATTCTTTTTAGTTTTCACATTAATTAAAAAAATTACTAAATAAATATAAGCTATAGCCTAATATTTTTATGTAAAATAATTTTGTTTTTCGTATATTATTTTCAGACATGAGCAGTACTCACATAGCCTAAATAACGTTACGCATTTAAAGTAACGACCAAGTGGCCAGCGGCAGACAGTGAGCATATGCTTTATCAATTTAGCCTTCTCAAATCATCACGACTTGACTAAAATAAAATCTATAGATATAAAACAGTTCAAGCATATAACAATGTTTAAACGTTAAACCTAGATAAATGTGTGTTGTATCCAATAGTTTGCGCAGAGAGTGGAAGCTGAAGCGTATTTTGCAGGACAGAGACGCCAGCGCAATCACTTGCATTTTTTTTCAGTGGATACACCGTCATTTTT